GAGATATTGCACTTATATTTTTTTCCCATTCTGGTTTAGATTACTCTGTTACTGAAGAAATATTCGACCTTGTGGTATATGTGTAACCCTCCAGGCCAGTGTTTCTCAACCTTGGCCATTTAAAGATTTGTGCACTCCAACCCCAAAAATCCCCCACCCAGCATGGCTGGCTGGGGAATTCTGGGAGTTGAAGTCCACACTTCTTCAAGTGGCCAAGGTTGAAAAATCACTGCTTCAGGCAGAGTTGGAGCTGTCCCAGGTCCTGCCTGGAGTTAACATCCTACCTGTAGATCTCTTCCTCACTTTAAAGACTTCTATGGAGAACTTCTGGCTGCTTCTGCTTTTGTTTGCTTCCCCCCTTAAATCACTTCTCCCTCTTTCTGTCTTCTTTCCCTGCCTCTTTCTTGATTGTGCGCAGCATTACGGACGGCAGGATTTCGCAATGGCAGTTTGGGAAGCCGTTCAAGTGCTCCCTTCCGAAGCAACGTCTACCAGCCCACTGAGATGGCGGTTGTCTTGAATGGTGGGACTGTAAGTATCAAAATATGATGCATAGAAGAAGCTGCCACTTAGGGGGAGTGCTGAACCACTGCTTTCAACTCAGAACTTCGTTCAGTTGGATGCTTGCTGATATTGGGGAGCAGGGGAGAATGAAGGGTGCGGTGGGGATGGGAGGTGGGAAGCTTTAACACCCAAGTATGCATGCAGGACTGAATTCCAAATTCCGTGTGGTTGAGCCAGTCAAGTTTTTCTTTGCTCAGGTTGCTCTCTGAGGACTAACACAACAACACCATCTCCTCCCTCTTTGGGGAAGGAGGAAAATGATCCATCCTGTCCATTTCATCATAGCAAGTCAGTGAGAAAATGTTGGAATGGTAACTTTTGCAATGTTCTTGTGGTCTGAGAAACCAGCAGATGTCTCTAGGAAAGCTCACCCACTTCTTTGTCCATTGGCATTGACCATTGCCACCTTTCCCAACAAATCACTGCCTGGTGTTTTGTTTTTGCTGAACTTCTGTCTGTTGGTTTTCTTCTTCCTTTAAATTTGAGTTGCTTTGCAAAAAGGGCCCTTATCAAAGAGTTCATACACATGGCAGCCAAGACACCTGGTGCTCGTGGTGCAAGTTGGTCCCTTAAAAAGATCCCAAAGGAGTCCCAACAGGATCCTTATAACTCCTTTGCATTGCCTTTTGCTCTTTACTTTCCTCCAGTTTTGCTGGCCCATCAATGGTGCTCCCCTCCCACAGTTGCTTAATTGTCATTACCATGACGCCATGTGGCCTGCTTCAAAATGCCATTCATTTGGCTTTTGCTCCATGGAACTTAGGTTTGCATTCTTTTAAGTCACCCACTGAGTCCATAAGGCAATTTGCATCTTTTCTTTGAGGCCTTTTTTTGGGGGGTGGGGGTGTTGATGTTGAAAAGGGTACCGTAGATCTCTTCTCCTCCAGCTTGATGCAGTCTGTTCCAGACCATATCAGGAAGGACATGCATGATTGCTTGAGTTTAGCCACTAGCAGAAGGAGCTGAGATGTGACTCCAAGTTCATGCTGTTCTGGACTGTAATAAATCCTGTGCCATCCTCACCTCCCACCCATGGCACGGTTCAGCTGATTAATATCAGGAAGCGGCTGGCTTTCTGAAACTCTCAAGCCTCTTTGCAACTCTTTAGTCAAACCCCACTGGGGCCTTTTGGCAGGTGGGAGGTTGAAAATTGAGCAATAGGGACTGTTACCCCTGGCTCACCCATGGAAGGTATCTCATCCCTAGTATGGTTCAGTAGTTGAAAGTCTTTGATAAATTCAAGGCAGTAAAACAAAGCAGTCAAAATATAAATTCCAAGCATTTGTTTCATCGTTGGAGGAAGAAGAAGAAGAAGAAGAAAAAAGTACATTGAATAGGATGAAACAAGAAAAACATTGGGGTGGGTCTAAAAGGAATATTTGTTCTGAGTCTCTCAAACTTAAAAAGCCCCCCCCCCCCCCATCACAAGAAGACATTGCAGGAATCAGCATGACACAAACTGAGCCTTTCACTCACAGATCAGAATTTGCATAGCCCTTAACATACTACAAGGTTAACTGCAGTGCAGAACTATGTAATATAACTGTCGTAAAGCAGTGATTTCTTAACGCTCTAAAATGCTTAATTGTGGATGTATTATCCTTATTTCCAGATTCCAACTGCTCCACCAAGTTACACTGGAAGACACCTATGGTGAAAAAACTTAGAGGCCATAGAGGAAGAGAGAGAGAGAGAGAGAATCCATTAACAAAGTTTTATTCTCCCCCCCCCCCCCCCAAACAGTGTGTGTCTTTCAGAGGAAGGAAACCCATCTGGGTGCATGGAAGGTCCTAGAAACGGATAGTTTGGCGGGGGGGAGGTTCCTCCTTTTTTAAAAAATAAAATGAATAAATAAAACAAAAACATGAGCACTGTCAAATTGATAAGCTAACTACAAGGAGCCTCTGCAATGCGATAGAAGCTGACCGAATTTAAAAGTAGATCTAGGCACGCTCTTCTTTTTTCAAAAGAAAAAAAGGGAGGGGGAGAAAAGGATTGAGCAGCAAAATCACAAGAAAGTGTTTGGTTAGAGAAAGGGGAAAGGCTTTGGAAGGCACTGAATTATAGTAAGGCAAAGATCTTTAATTCATATCTTCATAGATTCACGTGATTGCCCACACAAGTGGTCTTTTGATTCCTTTGCTACTCTTTGAGCAACATTTGCGTGGGGGGGAAAAAGCCCATTGTTCATTTAGAGCAGTGTTTCTGAAACTTGGCAACTTTAAGATGTTGTGGACTTCATGCTGGCTGGGGAATTCTGGGAGTTGAAGTCCACACATCTTAAAGCTGCCAAGTTTCAGAAACACTGATTTAGAGTCAGTTGTGATCTGCACTGTGGAACCTCAAGCAATGGACCGAATGCTTTCTCTTCACACGCAAGGTGCTGGTGTGCTTGTGGGACTCCAGATCAGGTGGCAACAATGGCCCAAAGACAGTGGTGTCTTAGCAGGCACTTTCTCGGGTGCTTAAGCTCTTTTTAAAACCATAAGAGCTTTCAGACAGCTTGTCTTCTGCCAGAATCAGTTGGCAACAATGGCCCAAAGACAGTGGTGTCTTAGCAGGCACTTTCTCGGGTGCTTAAGCTCTTTTTAAAACCATAAGAGCTTTCAGACAGCTTGTCTTCTGCCAGAATCAGTTGGCAACAATGGCCCAAAGACAGTGGTGTCTTAGCAGGCACTTTCTCGGGTGCTTAAGCTCTTTTTAAAACCGTAAGAGCTTTCAGACAGCTTGTCTTCTGCCAGAATCAGTGCAGAACATTGGCCATCGGGATGTGCTCGGTAGGAACAAGAAAGCGTCTACTCTACCTTCCCTGCTGACCAGACTGTAAAGTCAAAGGGAACCAAAGAGTGGCAAAGCCTCTCAAATTGTGTCTCAAGAGGGGAAAACAACTGATGCAAGAGAGACAAGGTAGCTCAGGAGGAGGACCAGGAAGGGGGAGACAACACATGTGGGCAATTATTCCCCCCTTCCCAAGGGTTTTTATGTAAAGGAAAATGTATCTCAGTGAGTCACCAAATGTATTGCCCTCATCATGAATTCAAACTCAAGGTGCTGGGCATGCAAGAAAATCCTCTCTATGGGGTTTCTTTAAATCTCCCACTCTTTGCTCCCATACCTAGTTGAACACTGAAGCCTCACTGACTGCAATGGTTTGCACATGTATTGCCTTTTCTCATCTGTTTCTGGAACATTTGGTTATTATTATTATTATTATATTGTTTTCACGTGGATGTTGGGAATCTCTCCACCCCCCTTTGCCAAGACTCCCTCGTTCTTGCTGCCTTTTCATATTTCTATGATTTTAGTGATGTTTGGTAAAGCATTCCTTCATTGGTGAGCATTTGAAAGCATATTGGGCATGTAGATTTGTCATTACATTTGCCTGGCTAGCTAGCACCTGCTTTTTGCTTTCCTAGAGACTAAAAAAGCAAGTGTGATTTGCTTTGTTGATGTGTGTGTGCGTGAGAGTGCACGTGCGTGTGCACATATGTGTGAGACAGAGATCAATAAAACCATGAGGCTACAAAATATCTCAAATGATGGGACTTTTTGCACTTGTTCTAAAGAGATTCAGTTTCCAAATGGGCAGGGACAGTGATAACAACAGATTGCTGAACTCGGTAGACTCGTGAAGCTGCCCACTGGTTTTTAGAAAAGAAAATGAAATGTAATCAATGCTGTTTGAAGATATTTTTTTTTCACATCCCTAGTTTTTAATTTATCTAATTCTATCGATTTCACCCTACTAACTAATGTATCCAACCTTGCTGTCTGGGTAATAGATCTGTAGTGGGTCGGGGGCAAACTGGCTGAATACTGTTTTATATTGTATGTCAGTTCCTTGCACTCAGAATTCTCCAATATTCAAAAGATACATCCTGTCTTCTCAGGAAAGATTCTAGCTGAACCCCCCTCTGGCATGCTCGTTTTCTAGACACAAGTATTAGCGTTAGCGTTAGTTATAATAATAATATTATATGAGGGGATGCCATTATGTAATACCCTGGATTGAGAACCACCTTGAAAATCTTGGATCTTGACTAGTAGAGAGCCTGTTTTACCTGCAAGTGGTCCTAAAGTCGTGTTCACTCGGACTGGGTTGTAGGGGATGGGAAAGTAAGCTCCCATCCCCACCAAATTTGCTGCACTTTAATATTCTGCTAACATTGCTTTTTCTTCCTGTTAAAAAACATGCTCTGCTTTCCTTTCATGATTTATTTGAGTCTTGCTGCTGTTTGGCGGAAGAAAGGGCTAATAAAACTCTGTCATTAATTTATGTATTAGCTTTTAAACCCTCGTCAGCTTTGAATATCCTTGTTTAGAGTGAAAAGGCAGAGTGTGAAAAGCCTTGAAATAAATGTGACTGTAGATGCCTTGTCTGTGCGTTGCACCGCCTCTGTGAGAACCTGGCCTATCTAGGAGTGCAACTGGTATAAAACCAGGCAGCGTGTGATACACTCTTTCCTTTGTTCTATGAATTCTGAACTGCTCTTGTGGCCATGATCATCTTAGCAAGTTTAGTCTTTTAAAAAATTGTCGAGTAAGTAACAGCAATAATTTTCATACAAGAGGAAAAAATTGCATTCTTGTGTTCTTGCAAATTTTAATTTGACACAAATCTAATTTCATCATGTAAGAACATGGGACAAGTGGATTATTTGCTGTTCTCCTAACCTTTGTTTAAAATATAAAGCTATATTTTTAATAAGGGGGACATTCATAAGAAATGTATGATTTCACTATGTGTGGGTACCTAACACACAAAATTGGTACTTTCCTTTAAGTCTGTGCTTGAGGGAGATTTGATACATATGAAAATGGCTTTTTGAAACTATTTTTATTATCCAAATGCATATGGTGAACATGGCATAAATGGTTGGAATAATTACTTCTCCCAGCTGAATTTTGATAAGAGGAGAGAAATAAAATTGTATTGTTTTTAACTGGAGGAAAAGACCATTTTTAGAAGGTTGTGAGGTTGTCCAATTTGTATTTATTTATTTTTTCTTTTAGACGAGGAAGGATTTAGCAGTCCTACTTCCCGTTAAATCAATGGCAGTTTGGGAACTTAAAGACAGGGTTGGATCTTGGAAACACAGGACTTCCTCTAACCTCTCCTGTGAACCTGGCCCGT